GTCCGCACTCTGCGTATTGGATCCCTGTCAGTATCCTGACATTACGACAGGGCCAGATGGATCCTGCAGGTGCTAGTCCTCCTGACCCCAGATTTGAGGCCATGGACCATAGAATGGACCAAATGGCTTTAGCATTACAAACTTTGTTAACACGCTCCAGTACCCAGTCTGAAGAAATACGTTCCACTGCTAGCCACTCGCTAAGTACTGGTTTGGAAGTAGCCACTGTAGGCGCATCTTCCCATGTCACTTCACCGTTACGATATGGGGGTTCGCCTGATGCTTGTCGTGGTTTTTTAAACCAGATAAGCATACATTTCGAACTTCAACCCCGGGCTTACCCCACTGACAGGGCTAAGGTAGGCTTTATTATAACCCTGCTAATAGATAAAGCACTTAGATGGGCCAATCCCCTTTGGGAGAATGACAATCCTTTAGTCTACAACTACACTGCTTTTGTCACGGCTTTTAGAAGAACCTTTGACCCCCCAGGAAGGAAGATTAATGCGGCCAGATCCCTGTTACGCCTTAAACAACAGAATAGGACCCTTGTAGAATATGCTCTAGAGTTTAGATCATTGGCAGCAGAAGTGAAATGGAACGAACAAGCTTTTATGGATGTATTCTTGAATGGGTTGTCTGATAAAATTCTAGATGAAATTGCCACAAGAGAACTTCCGGAAAATTTAGAGGATTTAGTATCCTTCATTTCCAGAATAGATGAACGCATGAGACAGAGGCAGAACACTCGGGAAAGAGTTACTAGACTTCCTGTAAGACTCGCTCCCTCATTTCAGAACCCTGACTCCTATAATCCTACTCCACCAGAACCTATGCAAATAGGTAATACTCGCTTATCTGAGGCTGAGAGACAGTACAGAAGAAGGGAGGGTCTCTGTTTATACTGCGGGCGGAGAGGTCACCTACGTCTTAGTTGCCCAAATCGTCCGGGAAACGCTCGCACCTAAGTTCCCTTAGAGGACGGGCCTTGGGTGTTTCATTACTGTCCTCTATGCATAATAAAAAAGACCATAGGCTTCTGATTCCTATCTCTCTAGCTTGGGAAAAGGGGTTTATTTCTACGATGGCATTATTAGATTCTGGAGCAGCAGAAAGCTTTATAGACCAAACTTTCGCTAATAAGCATTGTATCCCATTCCAATTGAGAGATACACCCTTGGCCGTTGAGGCCATAGATGGTAGACCTTTATCTGAACCAGTAATATTCCATGAGACCGAACCCGTTAAGCTTACTGTTGGTATTTTCCACGAGGAGTTGATTTCCCTTCTGTTAATTTCCTCCCCGGCAGTCCCAGTGGTACTAGGATATTCTTGGCTCAAGAGACACAACCCTCAGATTGACTGGGAGGGTGGAGAAATCGTTTCTTGGGGTATGGGTTGTAGGAAAGAATGTCAGGATACTGACAGGGATCCAATACGCAGAGTGCGGACAGAAGGAGGTACGTATACCGGACCTTAGAATGGCCGGACTAACGTAGGGACAAAGCAAGAATAGTCAAAAGGTAAGCCGAGGTCGAGGGAGCCGGAGGACAGGTAAGCGAGATACAAGCCAAGTCAAAGGAGAGGAGAGGACAACAGGACAAAAGACAAGCAAGGGTCAAAACCGGAAACACAAGATAAAGAACGCGCTGAGTGACTAGCAAGCTAGAACCACGACAGGGCAATGAGCAGTAGTAAAGGTTTCCTTTAAATACCCTGTTACCTAAATAGAGACCACGCCCCCAAAAGGTCCGGAATAGCGGTTCCCGGCACTTTATGTAAATGCCGACGTCATGACGTCGACGCTAGCCGTCGCGTCATAAAAGGGGGAGGAGCTAGCGCGGCCGGCGCGAAAACGGCCGGAATATGCCGAAATGCTAGGGGCAGGGAGCCCCTAAACAGAGAGGATGTCTTCCCTGGATTCAGCACCAACAGGTACCCTGACAGCAGTGAGGAAGAAGGCTTGGGAGTCTGATCCTTACTCCCAATCCTTACTCCCAACAACCTCAGGCACTACACTAGATTCCAGGAAGCCACCCTCCCGCAAAAGGTAGGAGACTGGAGGGTGGGTTTCCAAATGTAAATTTTGCATGTCTGTGTGTGCATCAGTATATCGGTGTGTGTCAGTATGTCTGTGTGTGTGTCTGTCAGTATATCTGTCACTGTGGGTTTCAGTATGCATGTCAATGTGTGTATCAGTATGTATGTCAATTTGTGTATCAGTATGTCTGTCATTGTGTGTGTCACTATGTCTGTCAGTGTGTGTGTCACTGTCTGTCAGTCGTTATGTCTGTCTGTGTGTCAGTATGTCTGTCAGTGTGTGTGTCAGCACATCTGTCAGTGTGTGACAGTATGTATGTCAATGTGTATCAGTATGTCTGTCAGTATATGTATCTGTGTGTCAGTATATCTGTCAGTATATGTGCCTGTGTGTAATTATGTCTGACAGTATATGTGTATATGTATGTATGTGTGTGTGTGTGTATCTGTTTGTTGTCATCATGTGTATCTGTATGTAGTCAGTTTATCTGCGTGTGTGCCTGTTGGTATCTGTGTGTCTGTATATCTGCGTGCGTGTCAGGTTGTGTATCTGTTTGTTTGTGTATTGGTATGTGTGTCAGTATGTGCATATGTGTCTGCATATCTGCATGTGTGTCAGTGTGTATATCTGTGTATTTGCATGTGTTTCGTGTGTGCTTATCACAGTGTGCATGTGTATCAGTATGTGTATGTAGCAGTGTATGTGTATATGTGCATATATTTCAACATTCCAACACCAACACACAAATACACTCCTGCATTGAAACGCCAACACTACATACAAACATACCTCTGTGTGTGTATGTATATATATATATATATATATATATATATATATATATATATTTATATATATGGTATTGCCACCCTGATGAAAGCCCATGTATTGGGACTGAAACATCGATTTTCTTTTATATGATATAGAATAAAAGTTATATTTTATTTTTACCATCAACAAGTCCTTGGAGTGCAGTCATTTCCAATCATTTATATATATTTATATACACACACCTTTGCATTCAAAAACCAACAAAACACATAAATGCATGCTTGCATTTAAACGCCAACACCACTTTCAAATGCCAGCACCACATACAAAACACCCCTACATTCACACAAACATACTCCATACAAAAATATGCTTACATTCAAACACACATACACTGTTCAGTGCATCATAGAACCCTGCATACATGGGAAAATGGGGAAAATGGTAGAGCTCCAGCTGTCAAAGCATTGTTGGACTTGCCCCCAGCCCTTCAATGTGTGTATATATATAGAGAGAGAGCGAGTAGCGCTATATATATGCCTCTGTGGGCCCTTCTGGCTTCACACTCACCTCCCGCTCCGGCATTCTCGCGAGCGGCTGTAAAGCTCCGCGGCACGCAATGCATGCCGGGCTCGTGACAGAAGTAGAGCCCGGGAGGGAAAGATGAAGACTGCAGGGCCCTTTTGTAGAGCCTGAAGGGGAAAGATGAAGACTGGACCAACTGCTGAGCCACCGACTGGACCACCAGGGACTCCAGTGTCCCCCCTCCCTGGCTACAGGTAAGAGTCAGGGAGTGGGGAATACTTTTTATTTTAAATTAATAAAATCAATATACTTTTTATTTTATTTTTTTATCAAAAATAAAAGGAAGAAATATACCCTCACTGCATTTGTCAAACATAAAGACACATTCACCACACACACACACACATCATCCACCACACAAACTGATTTCACTTCACAAGCACACACACCACATTCACTATACACAAAATGCATTCACTACACAAACACACAAGCTGCATTCACCACACAACCACACACAGCATCAACTACACAAACACACACCGCATCATCTACACAAACACACAAGCTGCATTCACCACACAAAACACAGAGCATCGAGTACACAAACACACAAACTGCATTCACTACACAAACACACAACATCATTCTACACAAACACACACACAAACTGCATTCACTGCACAAACACACACAGCATCGACTACACAAACTGCATTCATTACACAAACACACACAGCATCATCTACACAAACACACAAGCTGCATTCACCACACAAACACACACAGCATTGACTGCACAAACAGACAAACTGCATTCACTACACAAACACACCACATTCACTATACACAAAGCATTCACCACACAAACAAACACAGCATCGACTACACAAACACACACACTGCATTCACTATACACTGCAGTAACTATACACATTGCATCTAATACAAACACTACATCTACAACACACTCTGCAGTCACTATACACACACACACTCTGCATTCACTATGCACACAAACACTACATTTGCTACACAAACACTTCATTCACTACACAAACACACATTCTAAATTCACTATACACCCTCTACATCCACTACACAAACATGCATTCTGCATTCACTATACACACACTACATCCACTACACAAACACACACTCTGCATTCACTATACACACACTACATCCACTACACAAACATAAACTCTGCATTCACTATACACACAGCACATCCACTACACACACACACACTCTGCATTCACTATACACACACTACATCCACTCCACAAACACACATTCTGCATTCACTATACACCCTCTACATCCACTACACCAGGGGTTCTCAACCCAGTCCTCGGGATCCCCTACCAGTCCAGGATTTGGGGATTACCTGGGTGTGTCTAAGGTGTTTAGAAAAAGGGGGAAAAAAACACCTTAGACTCTAATGTGTTTTTTCTTTTCTTTTTCTAAACACCTTAGACACACCCAGGTAATCCCTAAACCCTGGACTGGTAGGGGGTCCTGAGGACTAACGTTGAGAACCCCTGCACTACACAAACACACACTCTGCATTCACTATACACACACTACAAACACGCACTCTGCATTCACTATACACCCTCTACATCCACTACACAAACACGCACTCTGCATACACTGTACACACACTACATCCACTACACAAACACACACTCTGCATTCACTATACACACACTGCATCCACTACACAAACATGCACTCTGCATTCACTATACACACACACATCCACTACACAAACACACTCTGCATTCACTATACACACACTACATCCACTACACAAACACGCACTCTGCATTCACTATACACACACTACATCCACTACACAAACACGCACTCTGCATTCACTATACACACACTACATCCACTACACAAACACGCACTCTGCATTCACTATACACACACTACATCCACTACACAAACACGCACTCTGCATTCACTATACACACACTAGATCCACTACACAAACACACACTCTGCATTCACTATACACACACGATACATCCAGTGCAAAAACACACTCTGCATCTAATACACACAAACATACAATCTGCATCCACTATAAACACCGCATCCACAACATACACACCACATCCACTTTACTTAAGCACTTTGCATCCACTATATGCACACCAAATTCAGTGCACACACACTTCATCCTTGTGGGTGGACTTAGGATGGTCCCTGTGGGGGACTCGGGGGCGTGCTATGTATGCGGACTTGGGGGCGGACCATGTGGGCAGACACAGCCGGGCTCAGGGGTGGGCCTGGGGGCCCTGACTTTGGGCTGGCTCAGGGGCCCCATAATTTCTGATGCCAGCCCTGTGCATGGTTCAGGGGGCCCAAGCAAATGCTTGCCCAGGGTTCAATCAATATTAAAGATGGCCCTGATTGTTACTTACCCCCAGGTCAGGACTAATTTTGGGTTCCTGTGATGAGCAAGCTTTGTTAATTGTGGCATCGCCACTTTTCCCTATACCATGGGTACACCATTTAATAATCATTAAAAAAAAAGAGTCTGAATTGTATTTTTAGAATTTATTGTTGTATTCAGTACAGTATATTACAATCTCAAACTGGGTCCCAAGCTGATTTTACAATTGAAGGATGAGTTAATTCAATGTGGATAATTTGGGTACATCCTTAAGAATAGAATTAATGCTTTGAGGTTATTTGCACGCAATGACCTTTTTCTTAATTGCTTGCAGAGGGGCAAGGTAAGGATTATTAAACACTTAACACTGTACAGTTTGTATAAGTAAGTTCCAATAGTGCCCTGCATGTTTTCTGTTTGGGGCCCCAGACCCCCCCCCTCCATTCCCTCCCCCAATTCCCATTAGTACCTCTATTAATGAGCTGGGTCACAATGTGTCTAGCTAGTCATTCTATATGGCCCACTGAGGGATAGAGAGAACAGTTTTTCAAATGAACCTCATATAAACCCTTCACAATTTGATCCAGGTGATTTTTTTCCCCTTTTTTCTTACTATATGTTTAATTTGTTTGATTTATTTAGCACCAAGGTGAAAAGTTCTACTTATGATATTTCTTACTTGCATAGTCTGACTAATGAAGTGAATCTTCAAATAACCCTGATCATCTATTGTGTGATGGCCAATCTAAGACTATCGTCCCTACAGAATAAATATCCCTGTCTGCTTAACTTCCCTGTGTTAGGTTGTTTTTCCTGGCTTTGACAGAGATCCTCCCTGAATTTTTTTTCAAGGTTAAATTCATGTGCTATGTCACTTTCACTCTGCAGAATAAATTGGATGAACAGCTGAAGAAAAATGGAGAGTTTCATTAAGATTAATAATTAGTAACCTGTTCTTTACTGTAGAGCTGTGTGATTCTTTTAAACCAGAGGTGGCTAAACTCCTTCTGTAACGTTACAATCCTCTTAATGGTTTCCCAGCCTGAAGCCTAGTTTTAAGTACTGTCTCTATACATAGCAGCTAAAGGGAGATTATACCACCCCCGAAAAATTAAATTTGTGGTAATTGCCCTTCGATAGAGGCACCTATTTTCACTGGGGAGATTTTGGATAGTTGATGGGGAAAAAAACTCTTTGCTGATGTTATTAAACAGGTCATATTTCATGTTGTAAGTTTTGGAACTATTTATTTTCTATTTTTTTTTTTTGGCTACATAGTTTTTAGTGAGCCATTCAGATTGAGTGATATATAAGATATTTCACTTTGTAAAATAAATAAAATGTTGGCATAACGTGAATGGAAAATTATTAAAGATAACGGGATCTATAATATTATTACACCCACTCAATGTGCAATATTTAGTAACAGAGATGAGTCTATATCATACGTTTTTTTTTATTATTATTATTATATATTTTTTTTTTTTTTTTTATATTTGCAAAACCACATTTTAAAGCGGAATTCTGGAAGGTGCAGTATTTTCTACTGCAGATGGGTTTTTAACAAGTGGATGTGAACAGTTAAAGGGCTACTCCAAGCATCATGACCACTTTATTGATATGAAGTGGTCATGGTGCAAGTACCCTGTATGTGCAGCATTTAAATATGAAGTGCTGCACATAGTTTAGTAAACTCCAGGCTCCAGTTCTCGACTGGCTAATATCAGTTCTGTGTATACTTCTTGCATAATCACTCATCCATTGGCTACGAGCATTCAGTAGATGCTCTCAATCAAAAAATGACCAGCAGGATCGACACCTGGGTCCAGGGCTGCCATCAGAAATTTTAGGGCCCTGACACAGCTCAAGATCTGGGCCCCTGGTGCCAGCCCCGAGTCCGCCCTCAAGGATGAAGTGTGTGTGTGTGTGTGTGTGTATGTGTGTGTATAGTGGATGTAGAATGTGTGTCATGGATGCAGTGTGTATAGTGGATGTAGAATATGTGTAGTGGATGCGGTATGTGTGTCGTGGATGCAATATGTGTGTCATGGATGCAGTGTGTATAGTGGATGCAGATTATACGTTTTGTGTAATGTATGTAATGTTTGTTTGTAACCATTATGGATGTCATGCCCTGATGGTGGCCCTGTCTGGGTCTGCAGGTCTGCAGAAGCTAGATGACATTAGAGAAGGCTTGGTGCCTGGTGGGACCTAGTAAGAAGCATACCATTGAGAAACAAGGGGCTTTAGTGGTTACAATGCTTAGAGTAACCCTTTAAGAAATTAAAAGTACAAAGTTTGGAAGAAAGATTTGGTTAAAAGGGATGAGTATGCAATGCTAGGATTGATTAATAATTTATGAAATGAAGGAAGTCCCCATGCTCCTTTTGTTACCTCCATTGAGTTTTATTTGTGTGGCTTGGGTTGGTCCTGGGCATACCCTGGTAACCTTCTGGGGGGTAGGAACATTTTTGTTTTAGGGGCTTGGGGAACCTCCATCCCTATTAATCCCAGAGTTGGTTGGGTGGACATGCTTGAGTCCACAATTGGAATCATATTTAATATTTTATGATCAGTTCCACAAATAAGCAATTATTAATTATGTTTTGTTATTTGAATATTATTGTAGAACAAAACGTAAATAATATTAACATGAATAATATTCTATACCATGCATTTGTGAATATTTTGGGAAATTTACACTGAGTGTTAGCTGTGGAGATGACATATCTAAGAACAAAAAGTGCCATATTAAATAAGGCTCGATCTGCACCACACAATGAGAAATACTGATGATCCCACCCATGTTTGGTCAGATAAGGCTACTCGATCAACTATGGTTTTTTAGACTTGAATCATTACATTGTATGGCTAGGCAACATATTAAAAGTGTTATCCAGCATTGTGTACCTTGTACATGTTATATGGTTAATTTTGTTAAAAGTACACTAAGTTAAAGGACCACTATAGGCACCCAGACCACTTCAGCTTAATGAAGTGGTCTGGGCGCCTGGTCTAGCTACGTTTAACCCTTTTTTTCTCTAAACATAGCAGTTTCAGAGACTTAGGCTTTCTTTATTGCAAGTTCTGTTTAATTAAGATTTTCTTATCCCCTGCTATGTTAATAGCTTGCTAGACCCTGCAAGAGCCTCCTGTATGTGATTAAAGTTCAATTTAGAGATTGAGATACAATTATTTAAGGTAAATTCCATCTGTTTGAAAGTGAAACCAGTTTTTTTTTCATGCAGGCTCTGTCAATCATAGCCAGGGGAGGTGTGGCTAGGGCTGCATAAACAGAAACAAAGTGATTTAACTCCTAAATGACAGTGAATTGAGCAGTGAAATTGCAGGGGAATGATCTATACAATAAAACTGCTTTATTTAGCTAAAGTAATTTAGGTGACTATAGTGTTTCTTTAATCCAGCCTCTAGTGGCTGTCTCACTGTCAGCCGCTAGAGGCGCTTCCACGCTTCTCACTTTGATTTTCACAGCGAGAAGACGCCAGTATCCTTAGGAAAGCAATGTGAATACTTTCCTATGAGACTGGCTGAATGCGCGCGCGGCTCTTGCCGTGCATGCGCATTCAGCCGAGGAGGAGGAGAGGAGAAGGAGAGCTCCCCGCCCGGCGCTGGAGAAAGAGGTAAGTTTAACCCCTTCCACCCTTAGAGCCTGGCGGCTCAGGGCACTATAGTGCCAGGAAAACGAGTATGTTTTACTGGCACTATAGTGCTCCTTTAATGCAATTGACTTTTCCAAATAATATAATTTTTTTATTATTCCAAAAGAATTGGTAAAAAAAAAAATCCTAAATAGCCGAATTTCTGATTTTTATCTCCTATGATTACAGAATATTCCTGGGAAGGTTGATTGGTTGTTTTGTTGTTTTGTTTGTTATTTAGTGAAATTTTTATATATTTTTTTTGTAATTTAATTTTTCTCTAGATCAAAAATTTGGGAAAGATTGAATTTACTGCACCCCAAGAAGTTTCTTCTTTTTTTTAAAACTTGTACCAATAAACATCATGAAAGAGTGGGAGCAATGACATGATCTGGATTCACGTGTTACATCCTTCTGCATGACATAAACATTGGCCATTTAATTAATATATGTTACAAAATATCTCAAAACCCGATGAGCAATTTAAAATGTATATAGAGATTTTTTTCTTTATTTATTTTATTGATGCAGATCTCTTCCAGTTGTTAAATTCTGTGTCTTTTGTGACGATCGTTCGGAAAACACATTTTTCCTGTACTTTAAAGTGTTAAGGTAAGTGAATCCCAAATAAGCGTTGGGTTTCTGAATACACCTAAGGCCAATATACACTGCAGAGCTGCTTATTTAGCTCAAGGGACAATGTGTATAGACGCATACACAACCTCCTGCTGGTATGCTAAACTCTAACACAGATTCCTAAAGACTAAATCCAGAGATTAATTAAGATTATCAACTGCTGGATTCCAAATTGTATCTGTTTACTTGGCATTACTCCATAATAAGGGTAGCAAACACTAACTCCCCCTACCAGCAAGAGTTCAATTGTCTTGATTAGCCAAAGTGATTATCCAAATGAGAAGGAAATTGTGTGGTTTTGACTATCTTTGGCTAATCCCAGTAG